CCCCCCCCCCCCCCGGCTGGAAGTTGAAGGTGACAGCATTCTGCTTCTCTGGACGTACTGGGAAGTGACAGGAGAGGGCTGGTGGGCAAATGAAGTGACGGAAAGCTCCAGAGACGGCAGCTGTGTTACCAGAGAACCTCCGCAGCCCGGGACAGGGCAGGGGGCACGATGGCCATGTGCTCCCTCGGCTTCAGGGGAGGGGGCTTGACGCGTCCCGGCGGCCAGTCACCCGGGAGGGAAGGCGGCTGGGAGGGCAAACGGGTGCTCACAGAGCAGTACAAGCCGCCCGGGTCTCCGTGAGGAAGGAGCGGGGGTGTCCTCGCAGGCCGCTGACCGCCCCCGCGGCTACTGCGGAAAGGCCTCGCGCTGGCGGCGGCAGAAAGGGGCCAGCGCCTGGGTGAGGACGTGTCACCTGAGCGGTGCAGGAGTCAGGTGGCGGCCCAAGCTGGAAGGCGGGCGTTCCCAAGACCAAAGCACAGAACAGACCGGGGCTCTCGACAAACGCTAAAGGGGAGGAAGAGAAAAAGCTTTCAACTAAGAGATGGGTCGAGAACAAAGAGGACAGCCAGGAGGGAATCAGCAGCCGGCTTGGGATGCGGCGAGATGTGAGGAGACAAGCAGGGGGCTCCCCGCCCACCCGCCTTTGGGAGCAAGAACTTTGAACGGGAAAGGCTGGGACGGGAGGGGCAGGCCTGGAGCCCAGGGCTAGTGACCGGGAGTCAGACGGCGTGAGGCTGTCTCCGGGTCCAGGTACCGGGACCCCCACCCCCCGCGAGCAGGGGCCAGGCCTGGCACATGCCCCTCCGGCAAAGGTCCCAGTGAATCCAGGGATCTTGTGGCTGGGGCCCTGGAGCCTCTGTGAGTCCAGACGAACTGCGACAGGAAAGAGGGGGAGGGGTCAGAAGACCCAAACGGGGAACCTCTTGCCTGGATTTTCAGCAAGGGAAGAGGTAGACTGCGCTGCGGGGCGTGAGCAGCACACCCCAGGGGAGTCACTGCGTGGGTGGAAGAGCACGTGGGGGCCGCCAACAGCAAGGGCGAGTTCCAGGCGGCCGGTCAGGCTGCCCGAGGCCTCCTCGTTGCCCCCGCTGGCGTCTGATAGAGCCTGCCCAGCAGGGGAGGGCTCCCGGGGGGGGGGGCGGCGGTGGGCTGTAGAGCCGCCCTGCCCAGACCGCAGCTGCTGCGGGAGGGGGCCCGAGGAGCCTCAGCGCAGTTTCCAGCCCTCCCCTTCTCCTTCCTTCCTTCCTTTTTTTTTTTTTTTTTAATCAAGACCAGTTCATTATCCCACTAGTAGCTATGCAAGGCGGGGAAGGGAGGGGCGGGGGGGGGGGCAGTGAATACGACAGAGAGAAACCCGGTCCGTGTAGCCCCAACCCCAGTGGCGCTCAAAGTGAAGCGTGCAGCAGGGTCCCCTAGGGTGCCTGCCCAAAATGCAGGTTCCTGAGCCTGAGCCAGAGAGGGAGAGATCCTGGAGCAGGGCCCCGGAATCTGCATTTGTGACACCTCCTCCTCTCGAGGTGATGCAGATGGCTCTGGAACCGTACAAACACCCAGAACCAGTCTAGACACAGGGAGTCTGCTGGGGTGGGAGGAGGCGCGGCTGTTTCTAACTAGCCGAGCTGCGCAGTGGGCTGGAAGCTGGGAGAACACTTGTAGGGGCCACAGCAGGGCTTCCTGCCGTGGGCCAGAGGCTGGATGCAGTGAGTGCCTTTTCCTCCAGCTTGGGGGTGCGGTGGGGTTGGGGAGGGGGTTCTTCAGAGTAGTGCTCCCCCGGGAGGACCCGCTTGCCCCACATTGTCCCCGTAAGACCTTCTGGTTAGGATCAGCCTCCTGTAGAGGTCAGAAAAGGGTCTGGCTGGGCTGCTGGCCCCTTGAGACTAAGAGCCCACCTACTCCCAGCTGGGGCCACTCCCCTCGCCACCCCGCACCCCTGCGGCAGCTAACCTCTCGCTTCTCCCTCCCCTCCCCTGTCCTCCCCACTCCTATCTCCCTATCTCCCTGTCCACTTGTCCTGGGTGTGGCCTCCCTTGTGCTTCTCTGGTCTCTCTCCTCCACCTGCTCTCTTTCTTGTCAGTAACCCTGGTCCCCAAGCCTTTGGGTCCAACCCTGTACCCACCCCCTCTACTCTATTCTGCACCCCCACTGTGGCCCCCTCCTCCCCATCTCAGGGGCTCACTCTCTCCAGATGCCCCTCTGGCTTCTTCCTTTTGCAGTTAATTTTCTCTTGGATTTGTGGAGGTTTTTCATTTTTTAAAACTTCAGCTGGGGGCCAGCATAAAGGATCTCCCATCCTCTCTCTGACCCCTGACCCCTGTTTTTGTTCCAGGCCACTAAACCATCTAAAGAGATGAGCGGGTCAAATGAGACCTCGAGCCCAGTCTCAGAAAAGCCCTCGGCTTCCAGAACCTCTATCCCTGTATTGACTTCCTTTGGGGCGAGGAATTCTTCCATCTCCTTCTAGAAGCCCCTTCCCACCTCCATTTCAGCCTGTTCCCCCTCCTGACCCCTGCCATTTCTCTTCCTGCTCTTCTTCCCTTCATCTCTACCCCACCCCCACCCTAGTCTCTGGCTTGCCACAGGTGTGGCCCTCCTCAGCTCTCTACACCCATCCCCTGTTGGTGTTTTTGGTTTTTTAAATTGATTCACTTTTAATTATCTTTTTTTTTTTAAAGCAGAACAGTAAAACTAAAAACCAAAACACCACCTTCTCTTGATTTCCTGTTCCAAAATGGCCCACCTCCTGTCATCCTCCCTCCCTTTTCTCTTTACCCACGCTTCCTCCCACGTCCATCCTAAAGCCCCTGCACCCTACGCTCCCTTCCTGAGAGCACTCCAAACAAACTCTGAGCCACGGAGACTTGGAGCGGCGAGACACCCCCCTCCCCGTCCTCGGAAACCTTCCTGGAGGAAACTCTTGGACGTTGGAACAACCCCACTATCAGGCTGGCAGGGAGACTCTGGCCCTGGAGGTGCCCCAGCTGCCCAACTTCGCTGTGACCGAACTCTGCTGCTCCACTCCCTTCCGCTCATGCTCCTGTGGGCCTGGAGTCAAGATGGATGGGCTGGGCAGGGAGGCAGGGTTGGGGGGGGCCTGGGGGCGGGTGTGAGGCCTTTGAATCTGTGTGTCCTGGAGAGGAGTTGGCTTCCTGGGACTCCCTTCTTGTGGTGAGGAACCACCTAGCCTGTGCCGAGCGAGGAGCGGGCCCTTCTGGGTAGTGGGTTGTGGGCAGCCTGTTGAACAGCCAGCCTGACCCTGGGGTCACTGCCCCAGAAGAGGGCAGCCCCGAGGAGGGCTATTTGGTACTTTTGGTTTCCTAATTTAGCACTTTACATGACATTAACTTATTTAATGGGGGTGGGCAAGAATGAAGGGCCTAGAAAACTAGATTTGGGGGCGTGGAGGGTGGGAAGGGTCTTGTGGTGAGGGAAGTGGGGGGAATAGAGAGGGGCTGATGGGGGGGCAGTGAGGACAGCTCTGACTCAAAGGTCAAGCGACTTGACGTTTAACCATCCTCTTTGAGATTTGAGGGTTTGCAGGGAAGGGTGAGATGATTTTTAAATGGGGAGCTGGTGACCCCAGGTGAAATCTTTGAGGGCCCCTGAGGCCTGACCAGCCAGCCCGTGCCCCTAGACCCAACCTGTGGATGCCTGCCTTGCAGAGGCTGGGGCAACGAGGCTTTTGACCAGGTCCTGAGAAGGGGAGGAAGACCAGTTTTGGTGCTTAGCCCCGGGTCCCCCAGAGGGCACAGTGAGAGGCTGGTGGGGAGGGGGGGGCGGGGTGGTATGTGGGTGGGGGATGAGGAGGCAGATAGGGTAGGGCCCCTGGGGAGCAGGATTCCTATTTGGAGCACAAAGTGGGGTAAGCACAGGGGAGGGTTTGGGAGTAGTCTCCCTGAGTAAGCACAGAAAGAAGGAGCCATTGAAGGGGCAGAACCTCCTAGTCCCTGGGGCCTGGCTGGAAGGTCAGTGTTTGGGGAGAGCCAGGGGAGCTGTTGAGGGTTGGGGAGGGAAGGGAGACTGGGGTTGTGTTTCTTCATTTCTTTCTTTTTGCTTTGTTTTGTTTTTGTTGGTTCATCCTTGTTTTCTAGCTTTGGATCATTTTTGTACAAAGGCAAGCAGGCCTTTTTGAAAAATAACAAAAGAAGAGAAAAAAAAAATCCCTCCTGAAAAAAAAAAAAACCCTTGGAAAATAGGAAAAAAAAAAGGACCTCATAAATGATGCAATTACTTTTAATTGCAGGCAACTCTTTACATTTAAGTGAAGTGTCTTAACATTTTATATTGTTTTAAAAATATATTTACATATTATATATATATAATATACGTAATATATAGTTAACAAAAAAAAATAAGTAAAAAAAAAAACAAAAAAAAC